GGGGATGTAATACATGCGGTCCTTAGATGTCTAAAATTTTTGCTGACTCGTAGCCGTATGTCGAAAGTTGATCACTCTAAATTTTCATTGCAGTTGACCTTTGCGGACCTCAATCTATCCGCCATCCCTTCTCGTTCGGAGGAATCAGTGAAACCTGTTAAAAAATCAGGCCTGTATTTTTTTTCAGAAATTGTTCATGAACATATTTAATGAAGAACATTTAGTACGTGAACGTACATTGCTTACCAATGTGGACGAGGGAAGATCCTGTGACGATGATGAGCAGTAATCAGCTGTTTTGTTGGGCGCTCAATTCATTCAAATCTGTCCTCGGCGAGTCTTATAATAGGAGCTTCAATATCATACTGTATCATGTTTATGAGCTGATCAGAGGCTAAAATCTCTTGCAATGATTCAGCTTCATGCTGCATAGTTTCTTTTTCTAATCATATTTTTTCTTCCAAAGTGTCAAGCACTAGTTGAAGTAACATAACGCTTTTTGACCTATGTTGTTAATCCTTCTCATTGTGTGGTTCGACATTGAGCCTGTAGTATGTTTGCTTCATCTCTGCTATCGTCATAGACCTTTTTTTGCTCTGTATTCATGTTTTGACGTTCTGATGTTTGGTAATAAAGTTTGGATTCATAGCGAGAAGTGTCGACCCAGACTCCGTTTACTGCGGTTTTATCTTGTCTTATGGTAACTTAAGCTTCGTAAATGACTATTTTAGTCGGCTGGGCCATGCTTGGCACCAAGCTAGGCGGATTATGTTGCCGGGTTGTAAGTGCATCGCAAGCATTGTTGGCACAGAGAAGTTCGCATACAGTTTGGTATCCGGATGCCAAATTCGAGAGACAGTTCAAGGCAATGCAATCTCTCGTCACATCGACTTCGTTATAACTCAAAGTTTAGAGTGCTGGAGGAATGGGGAAATTATGGATGAATGAAAAATATGATGAGTACGACAAAGCTATTGGTTTGGACAAACTTGAGAAGCTAGCAAATGAAATGCCAGTATTCTCTGACTCATATGAGGGCAAGCATCGGTATGTTTCATTCTTATAACATACCTTAAAGTAGGTTTGACTTAAGCCACGAAGCGCATTTCTTTTTCTCCGTAATCAAGCGGGTCTTCCAGATCTAGAGGAATCGTCCACTCTATTGATGGGGGCGACAATTTGATGCTTTGTGATAGCCGGGCCTCTGATTAAGCAGTTGCTTAAGTGTCGTTGCAGATGATGTATTCCAAA